ACGAGCCTAGCTAGCGTCAACATAATTTGCAATGTCACGAACATTTTACCCATATCTTTACGAGCCCAAACTTCTCGACACAGACGTCTCCGAACCTCTCAAGCGGGTGGGCCCAGGGTTAAAATTGCTTTTACTTCGCTGTATTCGCCCTTGGCGCGCTGACGCTGAAGACCACTAAAGGTTTGTTCAGTGACTCGGAGTTTGAATGGGACGACATAGCTGGGATAGCATTAACAGGTTCTGGTAGCTCGATACGAACGACTGTGCCACACGCGTTCGGGTGCACCGAAGATCGTCAGTCTGAGGACGATCAAGAGTGATGTCGCCGTTGGATTTGGCGACGGGGGCGACGAGCTTGCAGAGAAGTTGGACAAGGAGGAGCTTGGTTGGAAGATCAGCGGCAAATACGTGAGCTTCCACTTGCTCTGTGGGCGCGTATATGAGCGGACGTGTATATCTCGCAAGGCTGTTGTCCTTCTTTCCGAGGGTCGCCCCGGAGAGCCTGTCCGTTTCGCTTAGACCTCTCGTCTGTTACAGCACCTGGGCCGAGCGCACAAAGTACACTCGCCGCAGCTGGCGACCACAGTCTTTCACTCGTTGTCCAGCTTCCAGTTTTTATGAGTATCTGTATCAATCTGTATGTAATACCACAACCCTCAATCCAGCTCAATCCATTGGTCTCTTGGCATTTCGTGCGAATGGTGCTTGAATTCGTTGAACACAGTGTGTTCATGTAAATGTACAGTACTAGAGCCGTTCGCGGAGTAATGTGTGTAGTTTGAATGGATATATACAGGTGAGATATTAACCACGGTGCAGAGATTAGGGGAGATCTGGGAAAGCAATTTGATTGGATCAACGAGAACGAACGCGAAGGAGTACAGGAAGGTGGACTGGAGTGTATTGGAAGCCTTAGATACGGTAGTCAAGCCCTTGATGAATGGAAGGACATTTTGCGTTTAACAGCCAATGCCAGGTCCTATGAAGGTGATCAATCGCCTTGATATGCATCAAGAGGACGGATTGGCTTACGATTACTAGCGTGGTCATGCTGAGACGTCTCGCCCTACTGCCACCCCGGCGGTCTTTGCCGGCCGTAGGATGAATGGCATCGTGGAGATGAATCACGGCACTGCTGTCCGCATCTTGCTTGATATCACCCTGCAAAACTCATTAGCGGCAGAACGATTATCCGGACAATATGGAGGGAACCTTACAGTGGGTGCAAAGGGGACAGTGGGCGTCCGGTTCAACGTAGGCTCGTCGAATCGCTCGTCCATGGTCCTCTACGAGCATGGTCGGTCAGCTTGAGTATCGGGTGGTCAAAGTTACGTCGCGCTCACCATAGCCGGGTCGCGGAGGTCCACGAGACGGCATGACTGTGGAAGTGGGTGTCGTAAAACCAGCGAAGGCCTTTCGGACGAAACGCGCGAGCTGGTGGAATCCGGGGGTCCGGACATTGCGAAAGAGAATGAAGGAAAAGGGCGCCGGGGGGCTTTCATTTAAAGTGTAAAGTAGGAACAGAAAAGACCGTGCTGGTGGTAGGAAGAAGAAAAAGACAAGAGTAACTGAGCTTAATATATGAGAAACGCGGCGAAGTGGAAGCAATTTCGATCGACGGCTTCTTCATTTCCTTATTTCGAAATCACCTCTGCTTCGCACTAGGGGCTGGAATCTGAGACGTGGCCTCCAGGTCGTAATACTTTGCGCCTTTATGGGCCCACGGTCGCTGCTATGAAGTCTTTCAGCAACCACTGCGCCATTCAGAAATGCTATCCAGCTTATGTGCCTTGAGCACCTGGGAATTTGCAGAAACTGTTGGCGTATGCCATGAGTCTGGACAGCCAAGGCCCAATATGCGCCAACAAGTGTTCCTTAGCTTCAGAACCACGGTGCTGCTGGATCCTGGCATCTAACCTGACACAACGTTCCGGCCTCCCTCAACAATCAAGCAGGAAGGACAACTGCGTTCTTGCTGCGAAAATGCACTCGCATCGCGCATCAGCTCTGTGACAAGAGCGAATGGCCATTGAGTCACGGTATCATGTGACTCGCGGTGCCGCGCCACCGCAACGAACAATGTGCGCCCCATCATCTTTTCTCCTTCAACAACAACGACCTTTGAACATGAACTGAACACCGTCTCGCAGCAAAATGTCTGATTTCAACGCAATCGACGGCCTTGAGCCCCAACAACTTCAAGAGAACGGTCTTTGCGCACAAGACAAATATGGCATTCGAGAACCCTTCAGGCCATACAACTGTCAAGAAACACCAAGAAACAAGAACACCCATCCAAGCGAAAACATATAAGAGATGAACCTCAAATAATGAAACGTACCTCAAGACTGAAGTTCGCCCCGACTGAGAACCATTATCGCTCTGGATGGCAACGTCGCCCTAGCCTAGTCTCTGAGTCATACGGAAAAATGGCCGTCGCTTGCCATCGAATGCATGCTCTAGACATATGTAGACCTGCTCAGATTGCTCAAGGCAATGCTGACGCAGTCCCTGGTGTCCGCCTGGAAGGGTGCTGATGCCGTCGCTCCTGGTCACCTGTGCGTCGCAGCCACACTGGAAATGTGTCGCAGTGGATTAAGCCCTGCGTGTGTTGAAAGGCCTGCACCAAGAGTCGAATGGCCCTGGTTGGAATGGCCAGTGCCTGTGGTGTGCCGATGAAATCAAGAACAGATACCTGCCGACACTGCCAGAAGAAAAGAAGACCCCGCCGCCCCGTCAAAATGAATCGTATGGCTCTCGAGACTGCCTGGAGAAATCATCCACAGCTGGGGAGACAGTCTGTATATTGTCAAGTCAAGGTATCGGAGATGAGGTGGTGGCCGTAACAAATAGACCGTTGGGGTGAGGTCAAAGCGGAGTTGGGCAACTCATGATCAACTCCGCTACCCGACACGATCGCTTTCTGGCTCTCCCGCCTCAGCCTCTGCTTTTACATGTCTTCGCCAAGTCTCCTGAATTTTGAACCGCTGCAAAAAATTACAGGAAAAATTCTGCCCCCGCAGGAAGGCTGAAACCTCGACGTTCAAACAGGACCCTGTACTCCGCCATCGACTATGAGCCAACAACAACCTCTGTATTTGTCCCCTTCGCTCGTGACAACGTCGACGTATCTTCAGACAGGCAGGCTGTTGTTTGGGACGTGACACCCCCGCCTGAGCCCTCCCCTCGCGCTTGCAAAAATCAGTGCGCAGCTCCCGTCCCATCTCTCCATTTCCCATGCTAACTTAAACATCAGTGCCATGATCCACGCTCACAGGGTCTTGATATCATCAAGCAGCCCGTCCTACTCCCGGATGACACTGTGCCTCTGGTCACTTTGTTGAAGTCTGTGCTCAAACTGGACCCATAGACTACAAGATCATAGCTCTCCCGCCATCGTGGTGTTTGCGCACAGTACAAGCAAATCTCATATTTTGGAGAGCTCTCGAAAACTCTACAACGCTTTATTGCACCAATCCGCCCACAGTTTCAGCGCAGACGATGGAACTGACCCTCCGAGCCCCCACCATCCAGCTGCATACAAACACATCTACATCCATCTTCCACTCCTCGGCGCCTGGCCTCTTCATGCGGAACTTGCGCTTATTTCCAACACAACACTCCCCATATTGAAACTAGATGGAGCATCGGATGGCACGGATGGACAGAAACCCGATGAACGGGATACGGTGTGTGCCGTGGTTTGAGAACTGCTGTTGATAAGGTAGAAGACTGCAACCCAAAACCCTTGAGATATCTGTTGACAAGTGACCGAACAGATATTCAAAATGTATACGGCCTAGCTAGCGTCGCCATGATTGCAATGTAACGAACATTTTACCCATATCTTTACGAGCCCAAACTTCTCGATACAGAAGTTTTTGACCTCCGAACCTCTCAAGCAGGTGGGTCCAGGGTTGAAATTGTTTCTATTTCGCTGTATTGGTTGGCCCTTGGTGTGCGCTCAGGCTGATGAGTACTAAAGGTTTGTTCCGTGACTCGGAGTTTGAATGGGGCAACATAAGTGGGATAGCATTAACAGGCTCTGGCAGCCTGATGTGAAGTTGGAGCTGCCCAAGCGCTGCCAGTGAGTGGTGGCAACACGGTCACGTGTCCGATGCTGCTTCTTTTGCATCTCAGCGTTTAGGTCTCTCCAAACACTGCACGCCATGAAGCTCAGATCGGAGCTAGCCGTCGTTTGTGCAAACGCCGCTCTTGCCATAGGTATCGGAGCCGGCGTTGATCATGATGTGTTACCGACCGACGGTGGGTCTCCTTGGTGGGCTGGTTGCACCTGCCGGAGAATCCCTCGCCCAAACATCACATTCCACGACATCGACACCCTCTATGGATACTGGTATACTAGGACTCGGCGGCTGCTCGCGGGCGCGACGAAGCCAGCAGGAACCGCGAGCATCACCAGTCGTACTGTCAAGTCAACTTCTCCTCATTCCGGAAACGTATAACCACTGGCACTCCGACTCCTAGTACCACAGGCTCCCCTTCAGCCCTTGATGGTCCTAGCACCGGGTTGAGAGGTATGACCGCCACCACTGCTCCCTCTCCAGCAACAACGACATCCAATTGTCAGGAACCACCTCTGGATCAAGCGATTCCAAAATCTGGCAGATAACAGGGGTAGCATTTGTCTGCGTATTCGCCGTGGTGCTGATCCCGGTCGGCGTCATCTTCTGGGACCGTCACGGCATTGCACGATTCCGCAGCGGGTTCTCATGTGGACGGCGCAGGTCGGATGGGACGGAAGGCTTTATGCCGGACTGGGAGAAGCGGAGCTCCCGCGGGCGAAGGCATCGGGGACCATCACCACTATCCTGTCACCTCAAGCTCGGCCGAAGCACTCGCCGCAGCGCCGCAGTTGATGTACGCGACGATTCGGCCCGGGCCCGCGGTGCCTTCCGTCAGACTCCAATGACCTGGCGCCACCATGGCTGGCCCTTGGAGTTTATGATAATGGAGGCCCAGTTGTGTCTCTTATACATGGCGAGATGGCCGAGCGGTCTAAGGCGCCAGACTAAGGAGACCAAGTCATTGGATGACTCAATACAGCTTCACAGCAGTATATCTGGTCCGAAAGGGCGCGGGTTCGAATCCCGCTTTCGTCAAACTTTTTGCATTTTTAACACACAATGCAGCGGAGGTGCTTTTGAATCGGACAGGAGCGAGCTTGTATATAATGATACAAGACACTCAAAGCAATTGTTCTGTTATTTTCTGCTGTGTAAATACACCTACTTGCGCCATCCTGATTTGAGCACTAGTCACGCAGAGCGATTAGTGAAATGATATCATTAGAAGAATGTAGTGTACGATATACAAGGTGTGCTGCATGCCTTTACGAAGGCATGATATAAGGGGTCGGATGCTGCATGCCTTTACGAAGGTATGGCATGAAGGATCGGATAGGGGCTAGGGCTTGGGGGTCAACAATCAGGAAGACTTGGTGGCCTTCTGGGTTGCACTTGGCAATCCCGCCTCGCCAGCAGGCGCACACGCCCAGCGGAGGCCGAAGAAACGACTCACAGCGCTCATCGTATCTTCCCTTGCCTGCCTCCTCGCCATACAGAACATATCGCGGTCGATTTGGGTCTTCATCAGCCGTGCCTGCACAGCGTGCTTCTCGAGTTGGGCAGTGCTGTTCTCCCGGTTCATGTATAAGGGCTCGTCGCGCATCAAAGCCGCTTCGTAGTGCGCCGCATAGCTGAGGTGGAGGTCGAAGTAGCTTTTGGTCGCGGTGAGGATGTAGGCGGGCGTGAGCTCGTGCGCGGACGTGGACCCGGACTGCTTGGTGATTGACTTGGTGCACATCGCGGTTGAGTAAATTTGGGGAGAAGGGAAATCTTTTAGGGGCTTACTGGCTGGGTAGGGTGGATGATGGGAGAGCGAAAGAAAGAGTAGTTGGATGATAGGAGTCGAATCGCGTCGGAATTTAAAGGCTTGAATATAGGGGGTGGGGGCCGAGAGTTGTGAGCGCCACCACCGCGCCAACTTGGTGCTTGTTAGGGGTTCATGGAATTGGGCCTCTCGTGCGACACAGGTCCGAGAAACGTAGACAGCCATGCGCCGTAGAAATCAACTAAGAGCGAAACACAAACCCCATCGCACGGGGGAAGCAGCTTGAGGTTGTGGCTAATATTTGGAGATTGTTGGCAGATCAAGGCGTTTGATGTGTGGTGAGCAGAGGCACGGCAACGGCAATATACAATGCGTCTTTTCAGTGGACCAGGGAAAAAGACAGATAGATAAGCTGTAGGTACATACAAAAGATCAACCTTATAGATGGAGCCGAGCTACAGACAAGCGAGAAAGCAGATATCCAGAAAACAGACAAGGAGCATACGACAGGGACCTACACCAGCTGCTCGCCCACGGTAAAGTGCACTTGGTCTCCCTCTCCCAGTGTGAGCCGCACGGGCAGTCTGGGATCGATCCGCACGGGCGCGCTGGTGCCCACGTAGAAGTCGCCGCGGCTGAAGTTGCGTGTGATGGCGGCGGCCTCGTCTTCGGTAAGGGTACGCGGACGTTTATTGGGGCGGAAGGTCGAGGTCGATGCGCCGGTGAAGGTGCCATTGTAGTCGTAGTAGTGCTGCTGGGAGAGGTTGGGCTGGACTTGGGGGAAGCCCATAGGTGGCACGAAGCCCGCTACAGCCGGTGCTGGGGTTCCGGGTCAGTCGGAGAAGATATGGGAGAACGCTGTGGACAAACCTGGCGGAGGGTGGCCATTTTGATCAGGCGCCTCGGGATCGGGGTATGCACAACTCTGGCCAAGGCCCCTTTTTAAACAGCTCTACATGCCTGATAAGCCGACGAAGAGCGGGTATCACAGGATGCATACCTGGCACGGTAGGACCTCACTGCATCTAGTTTTGCCAGTGTGGCATGCCGTGCACGCCCGTCTCACTGATGGTGCTTTTGCTACAGATACAGGTGAACTGTTTATCGCCGTCGCAAATGACGACGGACCCTCACGTTTTCTGCTGCCCTCGCTTGCGCTAGCAGAAGCATTGGTTTGAAGCCCCTGCTGGGTGGGATCAGCGGAATTGTGTGTGGTGGCAAATTGTTGGGTGTCGATGGAGGCCGAGCCCGTATCCTGGGCCGGAGTGCTACCCTCACTGAGGGCCGACATAGTGCTGGTATGCGGGAAAGGGCCGGAGCTGTTTCCACGGTGCTCCTCCCCGGATTCGGCCTGTGTGGCGCAGCGGCAATTGACACTGGACCCGCGTAGGTGGTGTGCAGCCGGTCTCGGTCTCCCTCATACCACCATGTCCCACTCTCCCGTCCCCTTCTCGGACTTTGAGTTCACTTTCGATCCTGCAATCTCGGAATTCTTCCCCCCTCCTCCCCCGCCACCGCACATCGCCCTGCCATCGTCGGCCGATCTCTTTTCGCAGTCAGAGACCACAGACATCCTCGGCTTTCTCGACAACTTCAACTGGGAATTCGATGCAGACCCAATGCTCAGCGGATACGAGCTTCCGGAGCACGAGATGCCTCCACCATCGCCGCTGAGGGCGCTCCCCCCTTACACCAACCCACACACGAACGAATCTCCCGAGCCATCGGCCAGCGGCGCCAGTCGGGTGACGCGCTCCAACTCGTCGCGCAAACCAAAAGCCGCGTCATCCAAGCCGCGAACAAACACATCTCGGCCCCGCGACGCTTCCGTCGACACACTCATTGCCGCTGCCGACACGCCAGGAGCGCAATCACGTGCAAAACCGCTGCTGTCCACCCCCCAAAAGCGCCTCAACCACATCATGTCTGAGCAGAAGCGCCGCAACGCGATCCGGGATGGATACGCACAGCTTATTGCGCTGCTCGCACCTGCGGGGGCCCCGGGGCTGGGGATGCCCACGCGCGGGCGACCAAAAGGGAGCGGCAGTCGCGGGAAGGGTGCGCAGACTAAGGGCAAGAGCGGAGTGCTGTTCCGGGCGGTGGAGTATGTCAAATGGTTGGAAGAAGGGCGCGATGCGTTGCTTCAAGAGGTGCTGAGGACCGAAGGGGCCGCGGGCATCCGCCGTTGACCTGTACCACCATCAGTTAGCTGATACCCGTCGTGCGCCTGCTCAAATCTCTGATGGTCTCTTCGCAGAGTATTATCTCATTATTCGTATTATGCTGGTGTCCGTTCTGTAATTATACGTGGTATACCCTGTTCTGTAATACTATACTGGTTGTAACGGTGCAATCGTTGCCATCCCGATCAGGAGAGTCATGCGTCTCCCCACACCACCACTTGCTGAAGCGGCGCCCGTTCCACCTCCCAAGAAACCCGAACCAAACTACAAGATACCAAAGTTTGACCTTCGTGTCGAAGATCTCGCACATCCTGGAGCAGTCGTCTTCTTCGCGCTCATCCACCCGACCGAAGCGCTGACCGACGCCGTTCTGGCCAGCTATCAATGGCTGTATACTCTAGACACCGTACCCACCAAGTGCGTTCCCGATGCCTGCGACTGCAGCTCATGATCTGAAGCGTTGTGCACAACAGTGTCGAGAAGATAACGCTGATCTTACGTGAAATGGACGGCGTGGCTTATACGACGGGATCGCACACCGAGAAGGAGATTCACTTCTCGCTTGATCACATTCTTAACTCGATAGACAGGGCGCAGGACGAGATTAACGGTTCGCAGACCCACGTTTCTTTCTATGGGTAGCGCTGATTGATACGTAGGAGTGCTAGTGCATGAGGTGGTCCATTGTTATCAGCACAACGCCAAGGGGACCGCACCGGGCGGGCTGATCGAGGGTGTAGCTGGTGAGTGGCCCAGATCTCTTTGGCCCAGCCCCCTCTAAGATCAAATATAGACTATGTACGCCTCCATGCCAAGCTCGGTCCACCCCATTGGAGACCCCGCGGCGGGGATCGGTGGGATGCGGGGTACGACTTGACGGCCTACTTCCTGGATTGGATTGATCAGCAGCATGGGGAGAATAGCATCAGGACATTGAATGCGAGCATGAAGGACCACGAGTGGGACGAGAAGCTGGTAAAGGATGTTACAGGTCAGACGGTTAAACAGTTGTGGAAGTTGTACAGCGAGAGCCTGAATTGACGCCGGGCATGTCCATATACACTATTGTTGAACGGTCTTGATTCCAATTCCCTTTACGCCGCCTCACTCTAGTAATTATTGTACACAAAATATTCTGGCAGCCCAGGCATCTGGAGTATGTCCAGCCCAACCCCCCTCCACCTGCCGCCCATCCTCCCCTTCCCCATCAAAGTAGTCTCGCTCGACACCCTCCCTTCGTCTCAGGTCGCCCGCGGCACCCGGCTGCTCACATACTCGTTCGTGTACATGGCCCAGTCCCAGGGCGCCGAGCCGGAGACGCGGTTCGGCACATGGGACAGCAGCATCGAGGGCACGCTCGAAGCGTGGAAGCTCAAAGTCGGCGACGTCGTCAGCCAGCGGCGCGCCCGCGAGCGCAGCGCCGTGGACATCCTCGAGCCGTGCACGCACGGCGTGCAGATTGGCGGCCTCTGCGGGCTGTGCGGGAAGGACATGACCGAGTGAGTCGCACCGGCACTCGGTTTGCGGATATGCGTGTTGAATTATGTGTGCTACAGCGACGATTACACCGGGTTCTCGGACACCTCGCGGGCCTCCATCCAGATGACGCACTCTGCGTTTGGGCCCACTGTCTCGCTCCAGGAAGCACAGCGGCTGGAGCGCGAGACCGCGGACCATCTGCTGAAAGCGCGTAAGCTCAGCTTGATTGTCGATCTCGATCAGACGATCGTGCATGCTACCGTCGACCCCACGGTGGGCGAGTGGATTGCAGAGGGCGAGGCGTGGGAGCAGAGGACTGCGAAGCGGGAGAAGCGCAAGGAACGGCAGCGCGCCAAGGAGAAGGAGAAGGGAAAGTCGAAGGAAGAGAAGGAGGACAGTGACGAGGAGAGCAGCAGCGCCGAAGACGACGATGAGACCGAGAGCGAGGTTGAGGACGAGTGCAATCCGAACTGGGAGGCGTTGAAGGACGTCAAGAAGTTCAGGCTTGGGCCTGAATCGTTCGCTGCGACGCCCTCGAGGGGGTCGAAGGGCAAGCAAAAGGTCATTGAGAATGAAGGCGTGATGTACTACATCAAACCACGGTACGT